GGGATTTGAGGCCCAAAAAGCCGGACATGTCCGGGAAAATCCGGACGTATGGTAACCCTATCCTCAGGTGTCTCTCCTTAGAGCTGCTGATGCCACTGGCAGCTGGAGCAGCATGGCCCACCATGCACTGGACGCTATCAGACTAGACCACAGAACACAGAGAAGCCTCAGAGCCTGAACTCAGGCCTTGGCAAGTAGGTGAAGAGAGACTGTCTGGAAAAGTTTTGGGCCATATTCATCCCTGGTGTAACTCTGGCCTTTTAAAATGTATCTGAGCTGCCGTTTCCCCCCATGCCCACGTACTGCCTGTGAATTGGGACTTTAAAAAGATTTTGTATTTGCTGATTTTCAAGACCTCACTTCCGGGCTAGCTCCGCAGCTGAGGCAAGGCAGTGATGCCAGCTGAGGAGCTGGCCTGCAGTGGCTCCCGCCATTCCAGCCTGTCCCTCTGAAGACATTCGAAAGGACAGTTTGGTCTTTAAGGAAGGTCCCATTCATTTTCTATCTAGTCACCGAGCAGCCTGATTCCTGTCAAAGGGCTGGCTCTGTGCCGCACATGCACTCCCCACAGCATGGCTGGAAGGAGGGTGAGAAGACATGATTGCAAGCGTTCAGTTTGTGAGGCTCTGGTGCCCTCCTGTGGTCCTAAGCTGCCCTCTGAATGTTGCACCAGCTGTCCCCAGCATCTGACCTTTCTGCCTAGCTCCTTTCTGACCATTCATTGTCTAACCCCCGTCAACGCTGCCATTACAAATCACAGGCAGTAATCAGACCAGCCTGCCCCCATCAGAAAGCAGGGTGGTTTTCCTGCTGCCCCCGGGCAACACCTGAGCGTGAAGGCGTCTGTATCAAGGGGGGGTCGTTCAAACACCACACATGCACAGCAGAGGGGGTAGGTGCAGAATAATGGCCCCAGGGTGATATGCAAGTGGAGATCTTCCCGGGCCCTTGCTGGGACACTGGCCCAGTGCAGCCATCTTAGAGGTGAACTCACACCTGGGATGCTGCCACAAAGCACATGCCAAATGGAGTCCTTGGGAAGGCTGCAAACGAGCTCTGCAGGGGCTGTAATGTACCTGGAGTGGGGTGAAGGAGAAGCAAGCCCTGCATAGCTTGCCCTGGCTAGCCAGCATAGCCACTCTGTCCCAGTGTTCATTTCCACCCTGGCATGGTCAGAACCCTATTCTCCGGGCAGAGTTGTTGCAGGAAGGAAGTGTTCCCCTACCCCTCTGCCATGCCCCACCCAGTTCCTCCAGCCAAGTGCCTGGCAATTGAGTTACACCTGAACCCCGAGTTGTACATCTCTGGAGACCAGCCCTGTAGGGCCTGTCCCATCTAAGCCCAGCCCTGGATACTCACAGTCTCCATCCCCAGCAAGACTAGCAAGGGGATGGTGGTCATGCCGCCCCGGATCCACTCTTCCAGCGTCACGGTGCCATCATGATCATAGTCTATTTCCTCCATCATCTCCTTCAAAATCTAGAGGAAACAAGAGTCCATGGGAGTTCCCATATTCCTGAAGGTAGTGATCCCACTCATCGCACGCACCTTGCACAATGGCCAGTGATCCCGCTCATCGCACGCACCTTGAACAATAGCCAGTGATCCCGCTCATCGCATGCACCTTGCACAACGGCCAGTGATCCCACTCATCGCACGCACCTTGCACAACAGCCAGTGATCCCACTCATCGCATGCACCTTTCCCAATGGCCAGTGATCCCGCTCATTGCATGCATGTTTCCCAATGGCCAATGATCCCGCTCACTGCATGCACCTTGCACAATGGCCAGTGATCCCGCTCATCGCACGCACCTTACACAATGGCCAGTGATCCCGCTCACTGCATGCACCTTGCACAATGGCCAGGGCATTCCCATATTTTAAGTACCAGATCAATGACCCAAGGCAGAGGCCTACGCCATTCCAAGAGGCCAGCACAAACACCAAAGCCCAGAACATTTCCACCAACCCTGTCTACCCCTCATAGTGCAGCCCTCTCCATGCTCTCTCCCACCCCTTACACTGGCACGCCCTCCTAACTAATCCATCAGGTCTCTCCATGCACCTCTTCTCTGAACAGCCCCGGATGATTAAGAACAGATGCATGAAGACAGGCTCTTTGTTCCTTAGGTACTAATCTAGTCCTGCCTATTTCTCATCTCGGGTCTCCATCCTTGACATCGCTACCATCTCCACCGCAGCTACTTGCCAGGAGCAAGCAGAAAGCTCCTGGACAGCAAAGACCCTGTTCAGAAGCCCAGGAGCGGGGGAGCCCAGCGCCTCCACACAGGGATATCTCTGGGAAGTCACACTTGGGGCAGGGGTGTTCTTCCGAGCTCGTAGCACCAGCAGCTCATTCAGGTGGAATTCACCTCAGCCTTCCCCACTCAGTCTCTCCCGACCACCGCCCCCTGACCAGCAGTCAGAGGCTCCGCTGTCACTTACCGGCTTGAGCTCCGTCGAGTCCCACTCCAAGTATTCTGCCACGTGCACCATTTGGTTGATGATCCGATCTAGCTCCTGAGCTCAGACAAAAGGAGGAACCAAAGAGAAACAATCAGCGCTGCCCCTGAGACATGAGCAGGCGGGAGATAAGGCATGTGGATCAGAGCCCTACTGGGGTAGAGGCTGCCCGCAGACACACAGAGAGGCAAGCCCTCACCCAACCTTACACCCCAGTCACTCCCATTCGTTTCAGTGAAGAGCGGGTGGGAAATTTTCCATCAGAAAAGAGTGTTTAGTTGGAATTGAGATTCCAATGGCTGGGATTCCTGCCAGCTCGCCCACCTGCTCCTTAGCAGCCCGCCTGGGTACATCCACATGGCTCTGTGTTAAAACACAGTGTAGACACATATCCCTGGGGGTTGGTAGGTCCCCAGCTCCTTGACAGCCCACAAGCCTTGGGGGACCCAGCTCCCGAGATGCCTGGCTCTCAGGCTCCCCAGCTCCCTGCTGGCAGGCTGCTGGGGCTCTGGGCAGCTGGGCGAACTGGAGAAACATTGTGAAAAGACCCAAAGGAAATGTTACTGAGACTTTTTCCACATGAAATGTTGGGACATGCAGATATTTTATTTTCCATTTGGTTTCAGACCCACTTTTTTGTTTTCATCAGGGAGTTCCCCAGGCAATGGGAATCCCAGTTTCTAGCAGCCTCTATCTCAGCAGGGCTATTCGTGGAGTCCGGTGCCAGTCAAGGTGACTAAGCATGTCAGAATCCATCCCAAATGGACAAGACAGAGAAACGGGGGTGTGGGGGGTGGAAGAAAGATAGCAGGGAGTCCCCCAAAATTAATGTAGGGGCCTCACCAGGAATCTGCAACAACCAGAGAGGGCAAAGCCCAGAACTGAAGGCAGGGGAGGGTCTCTCTCTCTCTGCCCAGAATGAGGGTGTGGCTATGATGGTGGCTTTTGCTTTGTGGTGGGGCACTGACCCTGAGGAAATCACGCCCTTCTCTTCCACCTAGAAACAAGATAGCCGAGCGAGAAGCAGGTGATTGTTTGAGGGAGAGGCACTGACTGCACTTGCATCTGGGTAGCTTCTTTGCACAGTGACTGCCGAGAAGGGGCCGCCTGGCCAGAAGGAGGTGACACACCTGCAGCCCTGGGCCAAATGGCCAGCAGAGACCTATGGCAGTGCATCAGAGGCGGTCCGCTGCAGTGCACGTAAACACTACAGGTCTCTGTCGGCCGGCCCAATGAACTAGCGGTCTCTCTAGGAGACAATACATATTCCATAAAGAAATGGCTGGGAGGACAGGGCTGGTTTTTGCAAGCGTCCCTCCAAGGGCCTCCTAGGGCCCTGTATTGCCCTGGCCTACCCAGCTGCCATCCCCCCAGTATCAGCCAGCTTGTGCAGCTACATGCAGTGAGGAGAGCTCCGCATGCTAGGGCTTACCGAGCTGTCCAGGACGCCGTTGCCATCGGTGTCGTAGAGACGAAACATAACTGCAAGAGACACAAAGACACGGGACGTTAGGGACAGCGGAGCGTGGGGCGAGCTCCTGGGGCTGCTTCTTTGTCTGTTGGCGCTCGGTCCTGGGAGGAATGCAGTCACTGAACCTGCAGCCTCCAGCCCAGACCCTCTCAGAGGTGCTAATATGGCATAGCCAGCTGTTCCTCTCTCCTCAGTCAAGCACAGTCAGTCGGACACCACCAATCCCCGATTACGTATACAGGCTGAGAGCCTCCAGCGCCATGCTGGCGCAATGCCGGATCTCCATGGAATAGCACTGGCATTAAGATAGAGTGACACGGCGGAGAACCAGGCCCACTGTCCCCATTGCCCCTCGTCCCCCTCAGCACTCTGCCCCCAACCCCGGAGTGGTGGTGGGTGTAGGAACATCGTCTACCTCAAACTCAGCCCCCCGCAGAGGAAGGCTCCCCGACCTGGGTGCTCCCCACACCACCACGAGGGGAAGTGAGACCATGCAGCTGTAGTGGCAAGTGACTTCAAGACAGGACTGAAAAGCAAGGAACGCACAATCCAGTGGCAGCTGCCAGAACTGCCAGGGAGCAGAGCTAGCAAAGTGGGGGCTGGCAGACAGACCCCAGAGGTCAGCCTGTGTGCCTGGGCAGCCAGGTGGGTGTTGATCCCAGCCCTTTCCCCGCCCTCGGCTTTTGCCTTCAGAGCATGTGCTCTACAGGACAGGAGCGGTGCTACTGCAATAACGCCATCAAACCAATACGGCAGGGGTGGCCAACCTGTGGCTCTGGAGCCACATGCGGCTCTTCAGAAGTTAATATGTGCTCCTTGTATATGTAAGGGGACTGTTGCCCCCTTACTAACACTCAGTGGGGGTGTTTTGGTTGGTTAGCTCCCAGTACCAAAAGGGGAAGGGTCAATGGGAAATCAGGACCCTGAGACTGACAGTCCCCAGGAACAATGGGGAGAGGCCAATGCTCCAGGTCAGCCTGATTGACAGGGTCGGCCGGCTAATCAGGGAGTCAGGAGGCCAGGAGGGTCCCGTCCTCCGTGTGAGCCAGAATTGCCTGGGTCAGACAGAGTGGGGCCGAGCTAAGGAGAGCGCGGGGCCCAAGCTGAGCTAAGAGCCGTGTCAGCCAGCGGGGCCAGAGACACAGCCCAGAGAGAGCAGATCCTGTATTGGGAGCAGAGATGCAGTCCCAGAGCCAGAGGGGCCAGAGAAGCAGCCCAGGGAGCTGGAGGCAGAGCAGCAGCAGCAGTGCTGAGGCAGAGTGGAGCTGGGGCTGGAGCTGGAGCCAGGTGTGGTGAGCAACTGGGGCCAGCCAAGGGGGGACCCTGGGCAAAGGGCCCAGTGCAGAAAAACACCCCCAGCCAAGGGTCCTTGCAGGCCAGACCAGGAGGGGGATCTTAACTCGACGGGGGGGCGCTGATGCTGGGAAGAAGGTCCCACCATCCAAAGCCCGGAGGTGTGTGGCCACCCCCAGAGCAAGTGTCCAACCTGCAGCATCCCTGCAGCACAGCCAGGGCCTGAGAAGGAGCCTGGGACCTACAAGGAACAGACTGCACTGCCCTGACGTTCCAGAGACACTGTTTGTAATGTTCCCCGCCACAGAGCGGGGTGATGTGTTTCCTTCAACCTTTCCCATTTTTCCTTTTTTTTTTAAATTAATTGTTGATTAAATAACTTGTTTTTGCTTTAAATTGTATGTATTGATCAATGGGTCAGTGAAGTGCCCAGTGCAGAGAGAGCACCCCGGAGTGGGGACACCCTAGTCCCTATCCTAGGTGACCACAGCAGGGTTGGGGGTCAAGCCCCCCCAGGAATCCTGGGCCCAGCCTTGTTGGGGTTACAAGGACTCTGCCAGACAGGAGAGTGGAAGGGGAGTCCTCAAGGGCAGGGAGGCCTCTGGATAAAGGAAGTGGGAGCGAGGACTCAGATCCTTTCGCTAGCCCACCTCACTGGGGTAGTGCAGAAGCCAGGAAAATTCCCCACAATAGTGGGACCATTCCCGCGCTTACATATAGGCTTCAACTCCGGGGCTGGAGCTACAGGTGCCAACTTTCCAATGTGCCAGGGGGTGCTCACTGCTCAACCCCTAATTCTGCCACAGGCTCTGCTCGCACTCCACCCCTTCCTGTCCCCTCCCCTGCAGGGCTGCCCAGAGGATTCAGGGGGCCTGGGGCAGAGTGGGGAAGCTGCAGTGCTTGTACTCACTCGGCGGTGGTCCGGGTCTTCGGTGGCATTTCGGCAGCAGAGGGCCCTTCAGTCGCTCTGCGTCTTCGGCAGCACTGAAGGGCCCCCCGCCGCTGAAATGCCGCCGAAGACCCGGACCACCGCTGGGCCACGGCTCGCGGGGCCCCTGTGGGGCCTGGGGCAAATTGCCCCTCTTGCCCCCCCCCCCGGGCAGCCCGGCTCCTGAGCCTGCTACGCCCTCGCTCCTCTCCCTCCAAGCCTCCTGCATGCCATGAAACAGGTGATCGGGAGGTGTGGGGAGGGAGGGGGAGGTGCTGATCGGCGGGGCTGCCGGTGGGTGGGAGGCACTGGGAGCGGGAGAGGGGGAGCTGATGGGGGGCTGCTGACGTATTATTGTGGCTCTTTGGCAATGTACATTGGTAAATTCTGGCTCCTTCTCAGGCTCAGGTTGGCCGTCCCTGCAATATGGGGTCAACATTACTCCAGAAGAGCAAGACATTTGCTAGACAGACAGTGCAGCCTAGTGGACAGAGCCTTGGGTTAGGATGCAAGAAATTTGGATCCTGACTCAGCCGCCGGCCTGCTGGGTGACCTTAGGCAAGTCACTTCACCGCTCCGTGCCTTAGTTTCCCCATCTGGGAAATGAGCTCCTTTGCAAAGCGTCTAGAGCTCTACGGATGGACAGTGCCAAGTAACAGGTAGAGAGTAGCTCACTTTCTCCTGGGTGTAGCAGGAGAAGCAAGAACACAGGAGACAGGCATTCTCAGCACACCGCAGGCATGGGGCAGCTCTGAAGGACAAACATGTAATTGTTTCTGAGCCTCAGATAAAGGAGGAGTTGAAGGTGATATTGAACTTCTCCCGCCTGACTTCGTCAGCTGGGAGCCAGTGAATTCTTGGCACCTGGGGAAGTGTTTGTTTTAATCTTAGAATATAAACTCTCCTGCAGTGCTTAAGGCTTAACAGCTTGACACTTGTGCTCCAGGGTTGGACTGGGCCACCTCACAGTCTCTCACCATGCAGGGACTTTTCCCTAGTGGCTGTGGCATGTGCTCCAGCATTTAAGGTTTTATTTAAAAAAAAAAAGTCTCCAGCACTTTTGGTTACAGACAGCCTTCCATATACGAACCCCACTCAGACCAGTACGGCGAGATCTGCCTGCATCTGCAGACAGCCTGAGACAATCGCTTTGAGATGTCTGAACTGCCCCATGCATTTAAAGAGGTGTTGACTCTGGAGTCTAATGATGACACCTTAAATAGCAACACTTAACTGTTTCATTGCTGATCAGAGTCCATAAGACAGGAAAGGGACAGTCATATTCTGAAGAGAGGCATTATGTAGTGTGAATGGGCATTTCAGTGGGTATCATGAGCAGTGTGGGAAACGATCCATGCTCATTTTTTCAAATTGCCTCGCTGCTAGTACTGCTCTCAAGAGCTGCAGCCATTGTGCATCTAGTTAGCTGTGGGTTCCCATTGTCTTTGGCTACATTTTGTCTTTTTTCCAACATTAGAGTGATGTACAAACACAGTCAGAGAGCAATGAAGGTGGCAAAGACGGAATTGCTCCAATAAACCCACTTTGGCCAACACCTCTAGTCCCCTGTTTATATAGGGCCACTAGAAATTCTGTCACAATAAAACACATTTTAAGATGTTTTCAAGATGGTTTCATAAACCACCCACCAAAAGATCCTGCCCCCCCCCCGCCACAGTAAGCATCATCTTCTCCTCCAAAACCCTAAAACTATAACACAACACCCCTTTAGAAAAATCATAAAAACAAAAGACAACGCAGGCCACACTTGTGCTCCAGGGTTGGATTGGGCCTAGGGGGCAGCCTTGTGCAGTGCTTAATTTGTGCCAGGGCTTGGCAGGGCTGAGCCCCGGTACCTCTAGGTGTGGCAGTTCGTAGCCCGAGTACCTCTGGTCTTGCTGCTGCTGCATCAGTTATGCATGTAAAAAAATTGCCTGAGCCCCAGCATTTAATTGCTTGAGCCCCAGCACCTCTGTCGATACAAATTAAGCACTGGCCTTGTGCAATTGCATTGCCTGCTAATATGACAAGGACCTCTTCCCCTTGCAACGGTTTGATGTGCGTGATCCTCAGATAGACACAGGCTGGTAGCAGCATCCATCCCTCGGCACAATAACCTACTCTTCGCTCATCTTCCTTCTGCCGCCGATCTTTGTGTCGGCTAACAAGAAACGGCACGCAGGCAGTGAATTCACAAGTGAATGACTAAAGCAAGCCTCGGGCAGAAGGCCAAGCAATTTTAATGAGCACAGCGGAAGAGATGAGTAATTATCGCCCAGCAATGCATGGCCTTTCTTGTCTTATTGCCGCTCACAAACAGAATCTATAAATAAGTCTTGTGCGTGTTCTGTGAACCATTTAAAATAGACAGTCGCTAGCTCCCAGGATCCCCTGCTGTGCACTCTGGGTCCCCAAGGAGCCTGTCTATGCTAGGGACATGTTCTCAGAATTTCCCCTTGGTGCTTGTACCACTGTCGTCAGCCACACTGGGAGCTCTAGTGTAGACAAATCACCAGTGGCCGCCAGTGTAGACGGTATTGGGTCATTTCAGCCTGCTCTGGGCGAGGTTCTCTGAGATGGTTTTAAAAATGTGGCCCTGCTAACCTAGAGTTCCCAACGAGGCTGACTCAGTATTAGCCAGTACTGGATGTTTTCAGCCCAAGGCCAGGTTTTAAAGCTATTTAGGCATTGCTGCACTCAGCATTGCAATGCCTGTCTCATTTGCCAAAAGGATTTAGGCATAGAGGAGCCAAAATTCCACTGACAGTCAATGGGGCTGAGGCTCCTACA